CGTCACTGTCATCTTCAGCATCCTTCATCTCCTCGTCAACCTCCTCGATGAGCTTCTTGGCCTTCTTGAGCTTCTTGGCGGGAGTAGCCTCCGTGGTCTCCTCGTCATCCGCAACACCATCGGCGTCACCGTTGTATCGGCGGGTCTCCTTGAGAGTGAACTGACCAGCACCAACAATCTCACCAGAGGGGGTGACGTTGGCGCCCTTGGGCAGAAGAGGCTTGCCCTCGAGCTTGCGGAGGTGGTTCTCAAGCTTGATGCGGTTGCTGAGACCAAGGATAGCGCGCTCCTCCTCATCAGCGTCGTCTTCGACATCACCTAGGGCATCGACACGGAGACCTAGAGCAGCCTTGGCAGACAGCATACGAGCAATCTTACCCTTGTTTCGGCCGGTGGCCTGACCGATGAGCGAAGAGTGGTAGATGAGACCATACTTGGGTGTATCGTGCTTGGTCTTGAGGGCGCGGAAGAGGGCCTTCTCGGCACCGAGAATCTGGATGGTGGAACCAGGAGACTTGGCCAAGCTGATGAGAGAACCAGCATGGGCAATGAGACGGGCACCGACGAGGTAGCCGACGAGAGCAGTCAGGTTGGGAGCGATAGCGCGCATGCGGCTCTCGAGGTACGAGGACAGCTGTGTTCGGTAGTTTGAGTAGACAATGACCTGGTCAGCCAGGAGCTTAATGTTGTCAAGATCCTCGTCGGTGATCTCGGTACCCATGCTAATCTCGGCAGCAGCCTTGATGGAAGTCTCAATCTCCTCGGGAAGGATCTCGGAGAGGTCGCTATCGGCAATGTTGGTGCGCATGCCAACGGCGAGAATGACGCGAGCATAAGCCAAGTTGTCGTTGAGAATCTTGGCCATCTCAGGGAAGTGCCATCCGTACCACTCCTTGGTTCGCATAGCGTAGACGTTGAGCTCCTTGTCAAGGTCGTCGAGAAGCTTAATAGCCTGGATGATCATGGAGTCGACCTTATCGGCAGAGAACTTGAGCTTGTGACGCGACATGGAGTGAGAAAGACCCAGGGCCATGCGGTCAAAGTTCTCCTCAAGCAGACCAGGGATAAGGTTGGGCAGTCCACCTCGAATGCCACGGAAGAGGTCCATGGTGTTGGAGCCAGAAACAGGAGAAATGTTGAGCGAGGGCATGTTAGAGATGGCAGTGCCCAGCTTCATATCGGCGACGGCGAGCGAAGCCTTCTTCTCGGACTTGAGGTCGTCGAGGAGTTCTGAGAGAAGCTCAGGGACCTTGCCCTCCTTGAGCGACGCAGCTTCTTCGAGAGCGGTAGCGGCGCTGTCGAACTTGACAAACTTCTTGAGCTTGAGCCTATCGAGGGGGGATATGTTAGCAAGGTACTTGATGGTGTCTCGCCATTTGGTGATGGTCCACTCTGCCATTGAAGGCATTTTTTGGGTTCTCAATGGTACAGTTTTTCGCAAGTAAAAAATGATCAAAAAACTTACATCTCAACCACCTTCTCAGGTCGTCCAAGCTCAGCAGCGAGTTCCTCATTCTTGAGCATCTTCTTATCAGTAGCCTTGAACAGGCCATAGCTGCCAATTGTTAGCCGATGCCTCTCTAGACCTTTGCCTGCCTCGCCATCATGAATTGATGGTCGAGGCTAAGATCGAGGGTCGCGACTTACCCTGCCGGCGTCTCGGCAAGCACAAAGAGCGACATTGTGAATTAGTTTTGGTTCCTTCCTTCTGGTCTCGCTCTATTCGATTGGCGTCGTGGCTTCCTCGTGAGGCACAGTCCGGTTCGTTGAGCGCGGCTGCGAAAGGAAAGATCGAGGGTGGGCTGGCGATGGAAAAATTTCAGATGAAGCTTGGGAAGGCTCCACACAATTTTTTTGGTCTTGGTCCTGGCGCGGAAAGTGTGATGCAGGTTCTTCGGCTGCCGGAGCTACTTTCCTCCGGTTTCTGCATCAGGTACGTACCCCTAGCCACTGACTCCTGGCCACTCACGTGTCGACGCTCGCGACAGGATGTCTGGGCAAGCTTGCGTCGCAGGCTGAGGTTTGTTAGGCGGCCAACTTAAACAATCCAGTTAATTCATCGCCTCGGCCACGAAGACGCCCTACATTCCTCAAGACCTCAAATACGCCAGAACAAGGCCGAACGAACTACCACGGACGAGAATCAAGATGGAGGGTCTTCTCTACAACGTCAACGGCGGGTGCGTATTGGCTTGAAGATGGAGCTTCATACGAGTGGTTCTGGAGACTAATCATATGGAACAGCTACGTCGAAGGAATTGTCCGAGGCTACCGCAACGGTCTTCTCACAGGCGCTGCCTACAACAACTTGACTCAATGCGAGACGATTGATGGTATGCGACGATGACTTCATCACCAACTTGATTGTACTAACAACCACAAGATCTCAAGCTTCAGCTCGGCCCTTCATATGGCGATTTTCTCGCTTCCCTACCACCTAACCCCTCTACGTCAGCTCTCGCAGCCAAGACCACCGACAAGCTCATCTCAGAGTTCCGGTATGTGCGTGCTCAAGCTGTCGGCTCCCTTGCTACCTTTATGGACTACGTCACCTACGGCTACATGATCGACAACGTCGCCCTTCTCATCACGGGAACCCTTCATGAGCGGGATACCCGCGAGCTTCTTGAGCGATGCCATCCTCTAGGATGGTTCGAGACTATGCCAGTTCTCTGCGTTGCTACAAACATCGAGGAACTTTACAACAGTGTGCTTATCGAGACCCCTCTTGCCCCATACTTCAAGGGCAGTCTTAGCCACCAGGATCTTGACGAGCTAAACATTGAGATTGTCCGAAACACCCTCTACAAGAACTACCTTGAGGACTTTTACAACTTTGTCAACACTCACCCTGAGATGGCTGGTACACCCACTGCTGAGGTCATGTCTGAGATTCTCGAGTTCGAGGCTGACCGCCGAGCCATCAATATCACACTCAACTCTTTCGGCACAGATCTTTCCAAGCAAGACCGTAACAAGCTCTACCCTACCTTTGGGAAGCTATACCCCGAAGGAACTCTTATGCTATCTCGAGCTGAGGACCCTGAGGGTGTCCGTCTGGCAGTTGATGGTGTCCATGACTACAAGACTTTCTTTGACGCCGTCTCAGTCGGTGGCGGTCCCTCGGGACCTGGAAACATGGGTGGTGGTGCTGGTGAGACTAAGACGCTGGAGGATATGTTTTACCAGAAGGAGATGGAGATTTCCAAGAACGCTTTCACCAGGCAGTTCACTCACGCCATCGTCTATGCTTGGGTGAAGCTCCGAGAACAGGTTAGTAAATCCAGCATGAGTGCCACTCATCAGACTAACAAGTCACAGGAAATCCGCAATATCACCTGGATTGCCGAATGCATAGCTCAGAACCAGAAAGAGCGCATCGGCAACTACATCAGCGTCTTTTAAATCGAATATGAGTATTGGCATCGTTTTCATTTTTAGCAGGATTTTGTGTAGTATAGCAGCAACTGAGCTCGTAATGGCACGGATTAGTTCCCAAACTGGCGCAAAGGACAGATAGGCAGATGCAAAAGGAGGCATCGTCGCTCCATCTTTCAGGTGGCTTGTATTGTACATAGAGAGAAACAAGTTATTCTACAAAATCATCTCAGCTCCCGCCTTATCTTTACAACGAGATCTGGTCCTTCCATGTCGCGGGCGTAAGACCCAGCTTCTCAACCATGTGAGTCCATCGCTCACTCCCCCTCTCCTTACGGTCCATGTACTTCATAAGCTTTTGTCGACGGTGCAGCAATAACCTCAAGTTTCGCTTGTTGTGCTTATCCTTGTATCCTCTGTTGATCTGCAGAGCCTGAGAAAGATTGTTGATCTTGGTTGTCAAGATGGCGATCTGAACCTCGGAGCTGCCTGTATCAGGACCGCTCCGGCCTGGCATTTCCACTGTATTGGGATGAATGGACTTTGGCTTGGGCTTTAGAACTAGGTCTGTGTTGTGCCGCCCGAATTCCTCTACGATTCGTCTCACGTTGGCGTGGAAGCGGTCCTTTGCGCTACTGTTGCTGAGCGATGTGATACGGCGCAAAGCCTCAATAGCCTTCTGGTGACGCTGCTCGTGTTGCCTCACCTTATCCACTCCGCTTTCGGGTTCCATCTGGGACTCAACCACGCCGATCATGGGCTTGGTAAGGGTATATGCGTGCTTGATAGCCTCACCAAGTTCAGAGTCGGTAAGGAAGTAGTTTCGTAGTTCCGGAGATGTCGGTAGCTCATGTGCTTCGGCGAGCGGATTTCCACTTCCATCCACAGGAACACGAGACGTAGCCTCTTGACCAGCCGACTCAAGAGACTCTATAAAGGGAGTTGTCTTTCCCTTGACAGGATCACCCCACGCCTCATCCCTCTCACGGGCGAGCTCCTCACGCCGTTGCACATTGGCAGCCTTTCGTTGCTGAACCTGAGCCCATCGGTAGGGATCCTGTTTCGCCTTGCGCTTCTTCTCACGCTGGGACAAGTTGGCCGTTTGGACGATGGGGAGGAAGTTCGGGGTAGCGGGCTTTGCGGCGGGTCGAAGGCAGACTGGACAATTAATTAGCATTGTAGAAGCTAATGGCTATAATAGATACATACGGTTCAATGTGCCAAAGCGCGGCAGCGCCGGTATTCTAGGGGGCATGATTGAAGCATCAACCTACTGCTTTGATACAGAGACTGATGGATTGTCGTCCAAAGCCCGCCCCAAATTTTCCTTAGCCCACCATAAGGTAGGTACCAATGCCGTACCGGAGCCCACTGAGTACCAAAACGGATTAGCCTTTCTATCACGTGGAGATACTGCAGCTCAGTCTCTTATCGCCCCATTAGCCCGTGTTTAGCCTAGCGCATCAGGGCTTCCACCACCCACATTCTGGTGGTCTCAAAATTCCGTCGCGAACTTATTGATTTGCGATTCTTTGCACGCAACACCACAATCCTCTTGGTCGTCACCTTTCAAGCCATCCTTCCTTTTCGTCACCCAAGACAAGTGAAGACAATCCGTCAAGATGGCTCCCTCCAACCTCCCCGCCCTGTTCAACGCTACCAGCCAGGATATTGAAACCCTCCTGGCTGCCCAGTGCCACCTCGGCTCCAAGAACCTCCAGGTTCATATGGAGAACTACCTCTGGAAGACCCGTGCCGATGGTGTCAACGTCATCAACGTAGGCAAGACCTGGTATGTTTGAATTGGGATTTCGGTGGAATTTGGGGCTTCAAGATTGTCTGTTTGAAGGGGGTAGCGCATTTTCGAACATGGAGAAAATGAAGCTATTCGGAGGAGGGGCAGAAAATCTTGAATCCAAAACACCAAGTATTTTCGCGCACAATCGCTAACAGCGCATCTCACAGGGAGAAGATCGTTCTGGCTGCCCGCATCATCGCTGCCGTCGACAACCCCGCCGATATCTGTGTCATCTCTGCCCGTCCCTACGGTCAGCGTGCCGTCCTCAAGTTCGCTGCCCACACTGGTGCCACCGCCATCGCTGGTCGCTTCACCCCCGGTTCCTTCACCAACTACATCACCCGATCTTTCAAGGAGCCCCGTCTGATCATCGTCACCGACCCCCGCACCGACGCCCAGGCCATCAAGGAGGCTTCCTACGTCAACATCCCCGTCATTGCCCTCGCCGACACTGACTCTCCCACCGAGTACGTTGACGTTGCCATCCCCACCAACAACAAGGGTCGCCACGCTATCGGTGCCGTCTGGTGGATGCTCGCCCGTGAGGTCCTCCGTCTCCGTGGTACCATCTACAACCGCGAGACCCCCTGGGACGTCATGGTCGATCTTTACTTCTGTATGTCTCCCTCCCAACTAACACCAGAAATATCTACTAACAACTTGCAGACCGTGACCCCGAGGCTGAGGCTGAGGAGAAGGTTGAGGAGGAGAAGGTCCCCGGCGCTGACGAGGAGGGTCCCGCTGCCATCGAGTCTGGCTTCCAGAACACCGCTGGTGGTGACTGGGAGACTCCCGCCGCTGGCTTCGCTGGTGCCACCGGTGCCGCTGCCCCCGGCTGGGATGGTGCTGCTGGTGAGGAGTGGGGTGCTGCCCCCGCTAACACCGAGTGGGCTGCTTCCGCCGAAGCCCCCAAGGACTCTCAGTGGTAGGGCACTGAAGGCCAGGAGGGTGATGGCCAGGGACAGCAAGAGCCTGCCATTGACTGGTAAAACAAGAATTCAAAAAAGAGGATACCAAAGCAAATTCAAAATTCAAAACAGAGATTGAATTTGAACACATTTGGAACGGTTTTACGACGAGAGAGAGAGAGCAGAAAAGCGTGTGGATGTGTGTTGTTTGTGGTTCAATCAAACTATTCGACAACGTTAACCTTTTCCTTCCCCCCTTTCGATAACACATTTCTTCTTGCTGACTATCTTACGAATTCACATCCGAGGGAATTGAGGTTTTCAACTCGGCGGTGCTAATGAGGGAAAGATACTCTCCTCTCGTTTTTTTTGGGATGGAGAGGGAAAGCCCTGCGCTGCTGAGGGGATGGACTTAATCGTTATCCCGCCTTGTTTCTATGGAATTTGTATTGATGCGAGAAAAGTCAAAATATGAGTCGTCTGACCTGGGTTTACCCATGATATGATTGAGTGCCGTAAATATGCTTGTGACGTCTTGTGCTTATTAGTATATCTTGTAGGGTGATGACGAGCAGTACTTGCATAAGGGTCATGAAGATACCTTGGTCAATCATCTTCGCGTAATTGATAGTATAAGACCTCACGAAACACGGGACCAATTCATCGTAAACATGGTATCAATTGTCAATCCTCACTACATCTACTCATCCTCATCCCTATGCTATATCAACAACTAACTCCCCTTATCCCCCACCTATCGTTAACACTAATCAAAGTGAATCCAAAAGTATCCGTTCTATTAACTGAGAAACCAAAAAAGGGAACATGACGCAACATGACGCTTGCGCAGTGCGGGTATGATCAAAAAGCCAGGATGAGAGAAACCCCATAGATGAATCGTGTGAAATACACAAAAAGAAAAGCTTGCCCAACTCCTTGCTTTGTGTCCCAGATGCTGTTGATTGTAATGATGATTATGATGTATGTCTCGGGAGAAAAGAGCAAACTCCTGGTGTGGTGGTATGTGAACGAGTTATGAGATGGGTATAATGTGAAGGCATGCTGGGTATGCTCTTCTTGTGGTGTTGAAACATAGGAAATGAAACGCCGTTCGGTGTCGGTGAGTCATAAATCGTTATTATCGTTCCCGTATGTGTATGAATTTTGAAAATGTGGTAGGTAAACCACAAGGTTGTAGGGTTCATTCGAGCATTTCGGAGTGACGTCGAATGTCCTCGTCGCTCAAGGCGCTCATCCAGAGACAGCGTTCAGTAATGCCTTCAATGGGCTGGAACTTGTATCGGGTGCTGGCCTCCAACAACCTAAGCAGTGTCTTGACAACAGAGGCCGCAATGCGACATCGTTCAAAGTTGATCAGAGGGGGCGTTGTAGGGGAGCCTGCCATTTCAGACGGTCGCTGAGCATTGTAAAGCAGATCGTGGGTATAAATACCGACGAAAGGAATACAGCCCTGGTCAGAGCCAACCTCCATCTCCGCCCGTAGGTTGTAGAAGTTGCGCATAGGAGTGACCAGCTTCTCAAGATCTTGTAGTGTCCTCAGGTCTTGAGGAGCAACATGCTGCCAGGTCTTGCTGAGTCTAGCGACTTCGTTACTCGACAGGGCGATGGTGAGCTGAGCAAGGGTAGCAAAGTTGCGGTAGCGGCGACAGTGAGTGGCGATATGAATGTACTTGGTAATGCATCGTACTCTCTCCTCCAGGCCTTGCGTCAAGACAATCTCAGAGATGGCCCATTTGACCATGATGTTAAAGCGAGCAATGACTACTTCAACACCATGGGCGTCAGAGTTACGAAGGAAATCAACCCACGAGCGAGAGTCGCTATGAGCAGCATCCTTCCAGTTCATGTCAATGAGTTCCTTCCAGTCAATCTCGTTCAGCGCGTCCTTTTCGATGAGCGTGAACTGTTGAGCGAGGATCTCCGAGTCGAAAGCCAGGATGAATGGCAAGTGAGCAGAATACTTGTTGCTCTCGTAGGAGTCCACCTTAGCAACTTGACGAAGTGCATCGGTTGATGATTGATCAGCTGTCTGAACGTACGCAGCTGTAGGTGTGGTCTCAGGAGTTGGAGGAAGAGGCTTCTGGCCCCAAACTTGATCCTCGTGTAGCTCAGGGACTGTGAAGCAGTGAGGCGGAGACATCTCCAGTGCTTGCACCAAAGTCATGGGAGGAGAAGGAGGCTTGCGGTTAGGGGGTGGAGCGGGCGAACCAAGAGGATGAGCAGGGAGCTTCACTCGAGGCAAAATACCATCACCATATTCAGAGTCCTCGTACTCGAGGGCATCCGCCGACATCTCGGATGAAAGATCGCTGTCATCGTCAAGGAATGATTGGTCCTCCTCCACTGAGGGGGCAGTGTCACCAGGCTTGATGCCTTCAATGCTCCGCGTCTTCTCAATGAAGTCGTAAGAAGCATGCTGTGAGTCGCCTTCGTCTTCAGTATACAAGACAGTCTTGTGTGGACGAGGCGTTGTCTCTTCATCTGAGCCCTCGAGGATGGACATGTTGGTCCAAGGGCGACCCTTTGCCGAGTCCCGGTCGAGAATGGGAACAGAAGAGTACGACTCGCGCGAAGAACCAGTCAAGAATGATCTCGCTTCGGTTGTAGGTCTCTCAGGCGAAAGGCTCTGCTCTTGTGGTTCAGTCAAAGGCTCTGGTTCGCTATCCTCAGGGTCCAGCATAAACGTCTCCCTGACCATCAGCTCTTGTTCATGGTGATTCTTCTTGCGGTCCGCCTCTGACTGCTCTGAAGCGATCATGACCTCGCCAATTGTCTGAGGCGGGGCTTGAAGGCTGACAGCGGATTTGTGTGACTTCTTCTCGGGTAGCTTTCCCTCAAGCTTGGCTAAAGCAGACTCGATTCCGCCATCATCGTCATCATCAGGAATCTGAGCCAGTTTCTGAGCCTCCTTTTCGAACGAGGGGCGCATAGCAGGCTTGGATGAGTGTGTGCTGAATAGTGAGAGCTCTCGCTTCGGTTTGTCCGCAAGTTGTCCAACAGAGAAGGCCTCGCTTCTAGGCTGCACGTACTCAATGGAGACTACTGAGCCTTGACCGAAAGATCCACGACCAAAAGACGCCATCCGAGGGCTCTGCATGAAAGAGCTTCGAATTGACTCTGAATATGTTGTCAAGGAGCCAACAGATTGGGATCTCCTCAGCGTAACAGGGTCCAGCTCTCCCACGTTTGTGGCAGCTCGCAAGTCTCCTCCAGGTCGTCGTCGAAGAATTCGCAGAGGCGGTGGCATAGGCTCCTCAGGCTCAGGTTCCGCGATCGATTGGGCAGAGACTGTTGTGGCATCGAAGCTCTGGACTGTGGATCGGCGAGCGAGGCCGTTTGTGAATGAGCTGCGACGGCGAAGGATCGAGTTCAAAGACCGATGAGTCCTGCCAGATTTGTTGCGACGGTGGTTCTGATACGACACAGGAGGGCGGTTGCGAGTGCTTCGGGCTGCTGTAGAGTATGAGACGCGGCTACCATCCTCTGACAGGGGTGCGCTAGTGACAGGGGCGAGGGTCTCGAAGTCAGGGACAAATGGTGGCAGAGGATCTTCGTCTAACGAAGGCCGGACAACGTGTTGGTTGAGGAGGTACGAGGAACGGCGAGGTGTGTTTCCACCATTGCCAGCAGGAGGTGTAGAGGGGGGAGTGGGATCGCCTCCCGTCAACTTGAAAGTATCTGCAAAGGCCTCGACAGAAGCATTGCTGTTAGGGATTCGGTGGAGGAGCGATGGGTCAAAAGGTGTCGTGTCATCCACAATGACAATGGATTTGCTGCCTGTGGTAATGGCCATATCGCTAACCGGTCGATGTCTATGCTCGTGTGTAATATGATCATAGCTGGTTGTATCCATATGAGCAGCTGAGTAGTGAAAGTCTCCAGTAGGAGTCAGGGATGGGTTAGGGGACATCGGTGGTGGTAATCCGCGACGATCAGCTTCAGCAGCAGCCTCATCTCGCACAGCCTTCTTGAAATCCTCTACAATCTCAGCACCGAGCAAGTCAATTCTGACAGTCGGGCGAGCTCCGCTAGGCCTATGGCGGCTTTGGGGTACGACAGCCGTTCCAGGGATGCGATTCGTTATCGCGCCACGAGGACCAATGTTACCAAGACTGACGAGACTCCCTTGAGTGGGAGACATGCCTTGCCCCCTAGTGCTCAAGGCTCTTCGAACGGTTCCCAGCAGCTTCTTCATACCGTGTCCAGACATCGCGCCAGCGGTTATCCTTTCCTTGACGAGGCTTCGACTTTCAGGGTGCAGGTTAGGCGAAGGTACCAAGCTGGTAGAGAACTCATCCGGTTCCACATCGACAAAAGCCTGGCCAGGAGGTAACAAATTTCCACGGACAAGACTTCCTCCATATGGGGCTGTCATCATGAACTCCTGATCCTTGAATGACAGTTTATCCGTGCTGTGCTCTCGCAGAGAATCGGTCAAACTGTTGTTGCGCTTGTGGGCAGCTTGAGGTCGTACACGCTTGCCAACGAGGGCACGAGGGGTCGTAGCTACTGGTCCAGTGTGATAAGCCGAGGTTGATACAGGATGAGCAGCCAGAGGGTTTGTCTGATGAGGCTGAGGCTGAGCAGGTTTAATCTTGCTAGGAAAAGAGCATGAAATGATGTCCATGCTAGTCATGCTAATTGGCGATGTCTGCTGTTCTGCTGAATCCCTTGCAGTTTGTCGTTCAGGGGTGCTAGGACGGTGCTCAACCACCACAGAATCTCCAACATGGCCAGCTCGAGAGATATCGGCGATGAAACTTGTTCGTTCAGCAGGACTCCTTCTGAGTGGTAGTAGACTTTCGATACGGGGTGTTTCGCCATCATCACGGTCCCAGAAAGATGGATCTAGGCTGGGATCGCGATGTCCAGCAATACCACCAGGCGTGATAGGAACGCTAGAATCGAGAGTGTCGTCGAAATTCGAGCCATCCCAGTACAGTGCGCAAACTCTTCGCCAACACTTCTTCAATTCTCCAAGAATCTTCAGCTGAACCTTTCGAGACCGGTTACATTGCGAAAGCTCATCCACAAAATCGTTGAGTAGTTCGCAGAACGTTTGTCGAAGGTTATAATCCACAACGAAGTCGTCCATAAAATAGTTGAGAATCCAATGTCGAAGGGCAACAAATGTACGAACACGTACAACCATGCCTGTCTCATCATCACGAGCCAAAGCCCAACGCAGCCTTGCAATAAGCATACGGAGAAGATCCACAGGCTCCAGAAACGCTCGGAAAGTGAGGAAGAAGTCTGAGATAAGTTCGTAATCGAGGAAACTGGGTGATGTGATTTCGGCAACGAGTCGCGGTGGTGTAGCAGCTATAACAGCACCAGTTGCTGCAGAATATTTTACTAATGTTCGGTCATCGCAGGCTGGCTTGAATGTGAGATCATCGAACATGGCGGGTTCGACTTTAGAATTCGACTGATAACTTGGACGAATGGTTCGAGAAGGTTGTGTAGTTGAAGGAGTCTGAGTCATGGCGGGTATATTTCGAGAAATTCGTAGCATCGGTACAGCCATCGAGCTCGGCCTCCTTGAAGACGTTATATCGGGATGCGAGCTATTTAGCACTCCCTGGGGTCGGCTCAGTAGCGAGGCGCTACTTGAGCGAAACTCCTCAGTGGGAGCATACGAGGATCCGCGAATCATTGGTGTGCCTCTTCCCGTGAACCGGGGAACTCCTATGCGCCACGAAGGGATGGTAATATCAAGAAGAGGATCAGAAGTCGAATCGAAATCTTCCATAGTCCGAGGTCGGTATTCCTCCAGTGGCTTCGAAATAACGATCTTGAAGGCCCCGGGTTCCGAATCTTTGGCAGCGGACACCTCGTGAACCGTGCTATCGGAAAGAGCGCGACGATGTTTCACGGGCCGGAGCGGATACTGAGAATTGTGATCGAAGTATGTTCGGGCACCTTCATAGGGTGAAGGTTCCGGTGTTGGCGTCCACTGACTAACGTGAAGTTCACTCGTCTCGTCTTGAAGCTGTTTATTAGAAATCGCATCCAAGCCTGCGGTACTGGGAGGTGTAATCGGAAAGACGAATTGAGGCTGAGGAGTTCGCTGGTACGCAGGGCGAACGGTCGGCCTGGAGAATGAGAGTCAGTCGTTTGTGGAACGCAGATGTCAAAAAATACGAGCAAGCGTCGTGTTCCGTGCCAGCCACGTTGCTATCCCCAAGGCGACGGGTAGAAGGGATCACAATAAGAGCTCAGCTAAGACATCTCCCCACAAAGCGCAAGCAAAGACCGCAGAGTGAAGGGAGAGCGGGGATGTGGCTGGTAGTGACATTTTCCCAAGGGATATGACAGATGAGGCACTAAAGGGAAACACGCGATATATCAACCCTTGACTTACCTCAAATATATGCGACCATTGTTCCCGACGTTGGCGACAGTGAATTGACGTCCTTCACGACCTGCCGATCCACCGTCTGGAGCTATCTCCCATCGAGACAGACTGCCCTGGTTATCTAGGCTGGAATCCGAGTCCTTGAGACTTCGAGTTGTGGGTTTCTTCTGGTGTATTCTTCGTTCAGAGAGAGGAACCAATGGTTTTGCAACGATAGTCGTGGGCATGCGCGCGGTGTTGGTGGACCTAACAGAAGGCCACTTACTGGGTGTCGAGAAGCCAGGGCTGGTGTTTTCCTTTTTCTTGAGTGCTGCTACGGCAGCAGTCACGTTGGGGGCTGCGACAGCGATAGCGCCTGAGCCGGAACGAGACCTTGGCCGGACCTTTGATTTGGTTGACAACGGATCCTTGACAGCAGTTGCAGCTGGAGGAGGTGATGGTATAGGGACTGGGACTGGGGGCACAGCGCTGAGACCAGAGGCTGGTGGCAGCGGGTCCGCGGGCGTCGAAGACTCCAGGGCCTCCATGGCACGGCAAGGCCGCTCGCAGGCGCGTTGCCTGTCGTCACGTCAGGAGAGGGCAGAGCTGACGGTGCTCAAAGCGATAGAGGAGCTGGCAATCGAGGCATTGGGTTAGCAGCGATCGTTTCAGAGGTTGAGCAAGTCGGCGCGCATATCGTGGGTTTATACTGGGCACGCGTGGTGGAGAGTAAGATCGGGACGACGAGATGGAGATGAATGGGGAAAGGAAAAGAGAGGATAGAGGGAACGCGGCGAGTCCGAACTGGAGAAGTGATTGATATGAAGAAAGTTAGAATTAGTTGGCTTGTGCCCATCCCACCATCAACAACATTAGATTGCCATGTTATGCTAGTCCAGTCCAAGTGTGCGTATGTGCGTGCGTGCGTGCTGTGCACTGTAAATTAATTACCAGTAACCAGACCAACCTGAGGCCTGGCGAGACAGACAAGCATGAAATACCTTGTCGAGTTTCCAACATAGACAACCTTGAAAAGGGTGGATCTGATGTCATAAAGTAACAAGAAAACCAAACTTACATGATAAAGCCATAAAGTAGAGGAGATCAAGACTCGATGCTAAGGAACAATTGTCGTTGTTGTCGTTGCCATTCGAGTACCGGACAATTTTTCAATGATCGTCGGAGCGAGACAGTTCAGCTCAAGCAGAGACAGAGGGGTTGTCGCGGCTGTATGTAAAGAGAGAGAGAGGATCGAAATAAGACGTGTAACTTTGGTTAGGTAGTGAATAACGGGCACACGATACAGTACAACAACAATAGACCCTGGTCAAAGCCCTTTTGTTTCTCTCACACACTCGTTCAAAAAAGCAAAGAGAAGGGGAAGGGAAAGAAGAAAAGAGACCTTTTTTCTCAAGAGACAATTGGGGGAACCTCTCTCAGAGGCCAGACAAGAAGAGGGCGAACGGGAGATGGGCCTTGAATGGCGCGGGCTGGACCTGGACTTGGGTTGGCACATGGGATGGGATAGAGGGTGTGGGGCTGTATTAGTCCAGCACTTAAGAATAGCAGTGATTGATTCAGGTCATCTTGTAGCTGTACTCCAAATATTGGTGAGGGCGCAGTTGAGCTGAAGGTAGAGATACCTTCAACCGCTGTATTCCTCTCTGAGCCGAACCCAGCGGAAGGGTTGCTGGTGGGTTAGTCCAGCTCTCTCCCGTCTTTCAAAGTCAAGTTGACAAGTCTGATTGGCGATTCCAGCTTCAGCTAAACTTGACACGAACGGTTTGCCTCAAGCTAAACAGAAGCAGGGAGCCATGAACAGCAATTCGTATCTCTCTCTCTCTCTCTGTGTGTGTGTGTGTGTGTCTCTCTTGTCAAGTAACTCATTCATAACAATCACAAGATGAGGTCTTACTGTACTCGAGTAAAAAAGCAAAGAGCAGGGTATGTCCATGCCGTTGGTTACCACGCTTGGTCTTCACAAGCCTCAATCGGCACACAAAAGTATCAAGTACCCGCTGTTCATCCCTCAACGGTTCAACAGCTCGGCCCGCGTCGCATACAAAAGATCCCCTGCAAACCCCAGCCATTTCCATATTGCAAGGTACTCTGTACCTGCACCTCTGCCATGCTTTCACGTTGCACCAGAAAAGCCGCCAAAAGTACCTGCTACCTACCGCGGGCACACTCGAGTCAATCAATATTCGTACATACATATTTTTCGGCGGAGCTAAGGTGGGAGTTGTAGAGTTAATGCCCAGTTTTGTCGATCAGAGGGGAAATCTTGGGTATCAATTCTGATAGAGTTGTTTTTTTCCGCAAATCTGATCGGAACGTTCCATGAGGGGATTTTCTTGAGGCGTTGGTTGAAGGGACGGGACTGTACGATAATTGCTGCACTGTGACTACTACAGGCGGGGGTTGAGAGCGAAATCGTTCCAGAAAGAGAATCCCATGACCGAGGATGCAGCGCAGCTAATGCATCATGCATGAGCCCATCACGTTTTCTGCTCTTGGCGTTAGTATCCGTGTTATTGTTTTTTTGCTTATCACAATCAATCACTATTCTTCTCCTCTGTTCTCCTCCATCTTGAAACTGACAACATTTGAGCATCAGTCCATTCCTCTCGCGCGCGATCTGATCCTCCCTACACGTGCCATGCCGTGCATCCATGACAAGGCATGAGATCCTGGGAAATCAGACCAAGCCAAAAAGCCTAGGCCGAACTTTAAGCTCTGATTCGACACCAACTGCTTGGGTGCCCGGGGAAGCATCCGTGGGTCTTTTCCTGTCTCGGTACCTCTAGTCCAGGTTCAGGTCTCGGTCTCGGTCTAGGGTCTAGGGTACAGTACAGAATTCCAACGAGGTCGAGGTCGAGGTCGACTTTGGGATGTAGAGACTCAGATTGTCTTGGAGTTGATGTGATTGATTGATTCTGCAGCCTTATCAAGGTCTCACTCAACTTCTCACGCAACCTTTGTCTTACTTGAAGGACCCGCATCTCGGTAGAAGGTGCATGCTGTGGACTGTTTCCGTAATATGCAGTGCTACTAGTTCGCCGAATAAAACAAATCGCCGATGCTATTTACAGTACTGACATTTCACAATACAACATCCACACGTCAAAGGGCCATCCGTCACGATATCATTTTGAGCATCAACATCAGTGATAAATACACGCCAGTTCAAGGAATCCATATACCTGCATACCTACTCACTAACTAGCACAAAGAGCCTCCAATGACCACTCTTGACTCGGCAAACATGCGGTGTACCCGTCCTCTCAACCACTAAATCTCCATCCCCACGAGTCAGTCAAAACCTCAATATCCAACCATCTGTCTTGCCGCGGGGTTCCCATCCAACACCACGCATACAATTCTCTCTTTCAGCACCTATCGACACATTCTTTCTCGCCTCCGCTGCCCCGGCCGAGTCAAGATCTGGAAAGTAGTTCGTAAGTACGTATACTGTAGTTTTAAGGCCCGCGCCGGTTCCGATGAACCGCTCCGCCCAAACCCAGCCGCATTTTCTTGTTTAGAACTGGTTCATGCTGCTTCTAAGGAATGCGGCATAGTTATCGCTACTTGGCGAGTGGGCTAGTATCCATTCTCGCGTGCGTGCTTCAAGGTTCCCATGTTCACGTATTGCCTTTCAATGATCATCAGCCGCTTGAAGCGATGGCCATGTGATCGGCCATGTAACATCGCCAACAAGCTACCCTATCATCGGGGAGCGAGCAAACATCGGACTTTGAGGAAGGGTATCAAAATAAACTCGGCAAAAGATATCCTAAAATTATCCTAAACTTCCGTTATGTTACCTAGGTCTTTTTGTCATTTAGGATGCGTTGACTAAACTCATCAAATCTTTATCATAATTAGGTAGCCAATCTGTGCAAAGAGCTTTGAAGTCTAGTCTAATCTTGTTGGCTCTTCATACCACTACCGAAGGCTCTGAATCCTTTTCACCACCGAGTTCGAAAATTTATCGACAAAGAGATCACTGTCTTCACTCATCTCAGCCTCCGCGATGAATTCCATGATTGGTTTGATGCCAACACCAACATGCTCCCCTCCAGCATGCTCATAAATACGAGCTAGGGCCTGGTCGGCGCTTCCAGCCGCCACGCCGCCTGATGATTGCAGGACGGTTTTCAGCTCACGGAGGCTCGATACTGTAGGCACGTATATATCCCGCGAGAAATCCTTAGCTAACTCGAGCTCCTCGAGAACACTGAGTTTAGAAGTCGTTGCGAAAATGAGAAGCCGGTGTCCCTGCGTTACTTGTTAGCAAGAGAACTCGCTCGTGCTGCAATGTTGATAAAATGCTTACCTGAACCGCATCTTTGGCGACCAAAGCAGATATTGTGTTGGCTATTGTCGCTGAGAATCGAGGTCCAATAGGGTTCCATCCAATCAGTTTTTCAATGCTGTCCAAGATCAGCAGACTGACGGCCGATTTCTGAGCATCATTGAAGGTCTTCGTAATGAACTCCGACTTGGCTATGTCGTCGCGATACTCGACAAGTTTGTGAGGCGTGATGATCCTGATAAAGGGGATATCTGAAAGCTTCGCAATATGTGCAGCTAGGGCAGTCTTGCCGCTTCCCTGGGCACCATGAAAAATAATCGAAGATTTATGGTGTTTAGGATGCCCCTGGACCATGTGCGACACACCCAGTACATCGTTCAATATGTTTTGAATGTCGGGCGAATAATGGATAATTTCGGAATGAAGAACCGCCTCCAAGTCCGTATCAGAGGCGCCGTATGCTGGCCGGACCTCACTGAGAGCCAATAAAAAGTCACTCCACTTGACCTTCATGTGCTCAATATCCTTTGTAACAGTAATCTGGTTGGCATCAGTGTGGCGAGAGAATGCACTGGCTGCTGCTGCCTTGACCAGACCAGCAATTTCAGCACCGGAGTAGTTCTTGGTAAGGCGAGCAAGCTCAGCCAAGTCGACGTCGTGGTCCAAGATGTCGTTCTTGACAAATTTGGAAGTGTGAATCTTGATGATACCAAATCGACCCTCTTCATCAGGAAGAGAGATCTCCAGCTGAACCTCTAGACGTCCAGGTCGAAGTAGAGCCTCATCGATCATATCCTTTCGATTGGTCATGCCGATCAAAAGGATATTGTTGAGTTTGTCCACACCATCGAGTTTGGCAAGGAGCTGGTTGACCACAGTATCACCAACGCCGGTGCCGCCCCCCGATCCGGAGCCTCGCTGCTTACAAACAGCATCAAGCTCGTCAAAGATAATGATGTGAAGACCACTCTCGTCTCCCTTTTGCTTGTACTCCTTCTCTGCGTCTGCGAACAACTTTCTGATGTTCTCCTCGGACTGACCCACAAACTTGTTCAGTACTTCGGGACCATTGACGATCTTAGGTTCGTGAGCGTTGAGAGTTTTGCCCAATTGTCGGGCAATCAGGGTTTTACCCGTTCCTGGGGGACCATAAAGTAGTAGTCCCTTGACGTGATCAATGCCCATCTTGGCGACAATACCAGGAGGGAAAATACGAGACGCAAACACACGGCGGAAAATGGTGGAAATCTGAGTGTCCAAACCACCAATTCCAAGATCATCAAACTTGAAACTGGGAGCGAAGATGGCGCTGGCGTTGGGCTTGTTCACCGAAGGCTTGAGTTTGAAGCCATCTCCTGTTTTGGCGTGGAAGAACACCTTGCTCTGAGGAATCAGGATACCTCTGGCATTAGGGTCCTGGTTCTTCTGTTCCGCTTCTGAAGACGTATCCAGACCCGTGAGAACCACGGACTCAACAATGACCAGAAGAGGAATGTTGCGATGGTCCATGAGCATGCGCTGCCCAGGAGCAAGCACTTGGTTCTGGTACGAGTCTATAAAGAGCTTGGAGAGCTCATCCTCATCGTAGGGAACGTCTGTCTTCTTGCTTTGGGTTCTGAAAGTGATCGAAAGTTCGACAGTGCCAAGGTACGCATCGGATCGAGCGCTGAATGGATTATAGATCTCGCCGATGAATTCGTCCCTCATGGTGATGCCGGCCCATGTTCGCTGGGCGTCGGTGAGACTGATACCGCCTCTCGGGAAGCCTGGAATAGGTGTGGCAGTGACGACGTATTCGCCAACAGGTTGACCGCCGCGGATGAGGATGTGATGGTCAGAGCCATCTCGATTGGGAGGGAAGTCTTCAGGAGAAACGGCGCATCTTCCTAGTCATTAGCTTTGTCGGAGGTTGTTACTGTTGCAAAGTGCGGGCTTACTTGTTGTTGTAAACGAATCTGGTACGAAGAGTCTTGTCTTCGATTGTCTCGACGTGTAGTCGCGCTGCCCGAGGCGGAGGCCCCTGCTGCCCTGGGTGAGGGCGAAAGGGACGATTCATAATGGTAGGAGGACGAAGTGGTGATAGTGATGTTGAAAGATGGAAAGGACAAGTTAGGATACGCAAGGTGTTGTTGCAATCCTAAAACGCACTCGATGCAGGGGAAGCTACCCACCTTTTAAGTAAGTCGAGTCCCCCTAAGGACAGTTTTAGGTGGCGATCCTAGCCTGGCCAGCTCAATGGCGGGGTCCTAGGTGCCTGTGACACAGCCGTCACGGCGGGTGACGACACGGCCCCCACTAATGAAAGTTCCCTAAAGTTTCCTAAACTTGGGGAAGGGTCCTCGGTCTAAACTTAACTAACTTAGACCTTGACTTCCATTCTCCTAACATCATCAAAATGCCACTGTAAGTACTGATTGTTCAAGTGCCCATTTGCCACGGAAGCTAACCCTTTATAGCCACTTACTAGGGAAGAAGTCGTGGAACGTTTACAATGCCGACAACATCGCCCGTGTTCGTCGCGACGAAGCCGCCGCAAAAGCCGCCGAAGAAGCTGAGGAGCAGCGCATGCAAGAGATAGATGCACAACGGCGCTTAGCTATTCTTCGAGGCGAAGTACCACCGCCGATTGAAGACGATGAACCACCGAAAGATGAGGAGCCTCCCGTTCGTGATCGCGATGCGTCGCAAAGGATGAGCACGCGACGAAAACGAAAACAGCCAGGCGAGGATGATACCGACTTTGAGATGCGAATCGCTAGAGAAAATGAAAACTCGGCACTTGTAAGAATAGAGCCTGAGAAGAAGAGCACAAGCTCTGCGCCCCTTGTGGATCACAATGGACATATTGATCTTCTGGGTGATGAGAAGTCCAGAGCTCACGCCGAGAAGAATGAAGAGGCTGAAAAGGAAGCCAAGAAGAAAAAGCAGAGCTACGAGGATCAGTACACAATGCGCTTCTCGAATGCTACAGGAAAAGATGGCGCTCTTAAACCTTGGTACTCTCAATCTGATGCTGCAGCCCCTGATGCCTCGTCAAAAGATGTATGGGGAAACCAGGATCCGAATCGCAAAGAACGAGATGCCAAGCGCATAGCATCTAACGACCCTCTCGCTATGATGAAAAAGGGAGCTTCCAAAGTTCGAGAGATCAAACAGGAGAGGAAGCGTTTCCAAGAAGAAAGAGAAGAAGAGCTGAAGCAGATGCGTCGTGATGAACGCCATCGTGAGAAACGGCGTAGAAGGCATCATGAAAGGGACAGGAGTAGAGAGCGACATAGGAGTCGCGATCGTGACGAGGAAAGGTCTCCCAATCGACATGAACGGAGACACAGATCAAAAGAAGGAAGACATGGCGATAGTGGCCATTCTGACTCACGAATTCGAAGGCATGAGCGTCACGATAGAGATGGGTCAAGGCAGGAGAGAAGACACTACGAGGGGAGTGAAGATCGAAAAGAGAGGCCACGGAGAGACGATGAGTTTCAAAAAAGAGACTGGCGATCCTTAGAAGGGGTTGGTCATGAACGACGACGACACCATTCCAAAAACTGATAGCTTAGCATATGATACCCATTCAATGACTTTCACGATTTGTACCCTTTGATATCTCATACTCAATCTGACTGCCTGTTAGCTAGGAGGATACAAATTCTCCTCTGTATCCATATGACGGACGCTATGAGTCTTGCCTGACATCGTGACTACGGCCGTGACGCCATGTTTATGATGATGACTTGTTGTCAATGGTTAGTTGGGGCTCCTGAGGTTGTGAGATCATTTGGTGAAAGGTTTATCTGAATGAAAGGCAATGATGCAAGGACGTCTACATAGTACTTTGGTAAAGAACACATCACGGCTCCCAACACATCAGGGTGCTCACTGATGTCTATCTTGATGCTTTAGTTGAGAACTCAGAAGACAAGGTTCGTTGAGCTCACATGATGCTAGAAAGATGCCATGATTCTGTAATGTGTACACATCCATTAGGCAGCATCTTTATTTCTGGCGAGGGGGTATATTACGTCAAAATACTAAAAAGTCAAACTAAGAAGCTCGTCCAAACACGTCGCCTACTCATTGGTTCCCTCTACCCACGGTAGCCTGATCTCAACAGGTTGCATGTGAGCCTCAACCATCTCAGGCACCTTCTTCGTCTCCAACCCCTTCAACGCCTCCCTGATCCTCACATACGTCTCCTCACTCAAACCCTCCTTACGGTCACAGTAGATATCAACACCCTCCTTCGTAAACACAGTAGGGGCAAACCACGTAACCGCCCATCTCTCCTTGACGCCCTCTGAAGTGACGGCCTCGCCCCAGCCCAGCAGCTCCCAGTGCGAGTTGACAAAGACGAGCCATCCTTTGCCTCGCCAATCCCATCCGATAGACGAAGCTTGTGTGTCTGTGCCCTGGACCGTCTTGAGCGTTCCGTCCTTGGACAGCGGCTCGTACTCGACGAGGTCGTCGAGACGGGGTCGGCCATCTGCGGTTCCGGGGAGGAGCTTGTATGTGATGCGGACATTGCGGGCATCGCGCCACATGCTCAGCGTCGAGTGCGTGACGCTCCATGTTGTGGTGAGCCAGTCGAGAGTGGGAGGGTCCACGGGAGGTGAGTTCTTGGTAGATGGGGCATATTTGGTTGGGGGGTTGAGCTTGATGGGCTTTGGATCGGCCATGATGATGATGATGTTGTTGTGTAGTAGTGAAGATTCAATGACGTGATAAAAAGAAGCAACAAAAAATGTTAGTTTAGATGGGATGAAACTAGGTAGGTAGCTAAGGATGGGTATATTAGACTAGGTACTTTTGTGAGAAGAACAGATGGATTGACATTGGAAAAAAATTGCAATTGCAAGGTTGCTTGATAATGAGAAGGCCTGCTTGGTACCTAATTTCTTCACAGGCAAGAAATGAAACACGCCAGGCTTCGGGTGGCCGCAGATCTGTTACACAAGCACTACCTTAGGGAAAAGCCATCTTCATTCGTCGACTTTCGCTAAATCTTCCGACTGCATAACTTATCCTAGCCTATTTGTTTCTAATTAAGTCTCGTCAGGGCCCTGTGATCATCAGTCTGATGTCACTGATATTCCATTTCTCTCTCAAACATTGGCTGTTATACTGTCCTCCTTCAGGGCATGAAAACTATTGCGCCATAATCGGGTACATCTGTATGTATCAGCAATTTGTTTTGGTCTGTAAGACAGGGAGCCACGAATTATGCCATGATCATAATTTTGTTCTTACATTCTCTAGGTAATCCTTGTTGGTTCTACGTATATGCCGACGGATGCCCTGACGGACGGGACGGGACAGGACAGGACAGGACAAGCCCAAGAGTCAAGCCACAATAGCTGCCCAACAGCCACAACTCCACAATCAGCCTTAACCCCAGATTCCAGTTGCACCAGACACACCTCATTCTTTCCACCATCTCACTCACTTGTCTCCGTTCACTCATTAATTTTCTCATCTCACTCACTTAAAAGGACACTTCTCACTGCCTTCTTCACCATCTAATTAAACCATACTCAGCCACATCCCTTTTCAAGTTTTCAGGATGGACCCCACAGAAAACGACGTGGAAGTCTCTGATGACGACCTCATGGCTCAGATGGGCTTCTCATCCTTCGGCGCGGCATCACCACCTTCCAAGCGCCGTCGCTACAATCCAAATGCAGATGCCCTACTGCCGTCCAAGTCATCGGCAACCGGCGCAAACTCTACAGCTCTGGGAACCGGCTCAAACAAGGATGAGATCTCGCTGGATGACGACGATAACGAAGGAGATGCCGACCCAGAACAGAAAGTACCAGCGCAAGCGCGCCCGGCTAGCCTACCCCAGAGACCTGCTCCGGCGCAAGCCACACCTCGAGACCAGCACTCAGGCGCACACGGGGCCAGGGGTAATAAGTTCACAGGATACTATGACCGCCTGTCCAACGAGAATCCCTGGGAAAAGATTGAGAGGGCCCGGGGATTGGCGACAAGAGGGACGTGGATCACCCCAAAGGCTGGGAACGCTGCTACGACAGGTGGTGCTCCTGCCTGAAACATTGACACCAACGGACAACTGCCAATGCATATGGATTCCACGAACTGAACATTGTCAAGAGGCAAGCTTCGTTAGCATGGACTACCTCGGGAAGCGCCTGTCGCGATACTGCAGGGCCATGGCTCACATTTTGGCCAGACTCAGATTTTGATACCGAATATCGTGTCACGTGGGGAGTCATGTGACACAAACGACAGGGGTCACGACAACCTCCGAGTACCATTACAACGGGACTCCGACTCGCTACGCCAATATGCCTCATATCACATGCTTGTACTTACTCAGACTGGCTCGTCGATGGTCTGGAGGGGCGTGGGGAGCAGGTCAATCACATCTACGGGGGGGTTATCACATCAATTGGTCCCAGGGCTATGCCTTCAGTCAAAGAGGGGAAACGAGATATTGCTTGCTATGAGACTCCATACTCCAGTCGAGATATCCACAAAGAATGCCTTCTTACAGATCCTGGCTCCTCCCAAGATGGTCCCATCAGCTCTCCAGGCTCGCCGCGTTACCCAATGGAGCGATACCAACGTCGCTGCCTCCCCTGATTGGGGCAAGCGTCTGAAATACACTGCTTTGCGAGTCCGCTACTTTTCTCCATCATGTCATCTTCTCGCTCCAATGCTCTCCAACGTTACTCACTCAGTACACCCCCCTCGGCAAATGCCACGAGCAGAACGCTCTCGGCTGCTCCCGCGTCACCCATACCCAGAGAGGCTTCTAAGCATATCTTCCGTGCAGCAACCGGTTCCGACACATCATGTCTTGCTGCAACTCCGCTGACGCTATACCTGGCACCCCACTGAAGCTGGGGAGGAGGTGTACTTTTATCAACCGCCCCTAGATCGTTCAGTTCATCCAATCATAAGCCATAAGTCGTGAAAAAGCCGCCCATCCTCGCCCTCTCCGCGTGTTTTCCCCCACACCTGCCAGAAGCCACAAGGCTGGCGTTCCTGGCTAGGAAGTGCCCACACACCTGCCCTGTCGTTCTGCGTAAAAGCAGCAAGACACTGCGCGCCAGGCGGCTCAATTGCCGCGCTTAGTGCCCCTGATTTCAACGTCACCTCACGCTCCCCTTGCATGAACTACTCGTTCATGCAGGTCGTGATGAGGGTGGCATGACAAGCGTAAAATACTCGCTAAATACAAAAAACAATTAATCTGGAAATCCGAGAATCTGATATCGTGTGTTCCTGCATTTTGCAGTGAAACTATGTGCGCAAGTAGGAAATTTTGGTGAATCGCATGTGGCCGAAAGTTGCTCGCTAAGTAAAGTTTTTGGTCGTAAAAGTTCAAAATGCCGCTCCAAAGAAAGACCCAAAGAATCATCTAGTTCTCAGGGGAAGGAAATCGGGCGCGGGCCTTGCTGTATTCTTTGCCATGTTTGCGAGAAGCTTTGGTCTTCAGCGAGCTACGAAGATCGGTTAGTCTCATTTCACTACTCTTTGATTCTGTGGTTTGAGCCGCGCATGACAAAATGCCGTTGCGTTTGCCATACGGCGCAAAAGAAACCGCAAAGTGTTCGACTTACCCAACTTTCTTTTGTGTCCACTCAAGATCGCTGCGCACCTCATGGGCATCCCGCATACCCTCCTGGAAGCGCTCACGGGTCTTCGCAAGACGAGCCTGAGCCTTCTTCTGAAGCTCCATGAGCTCGCGGTGCTTGGCATTCATTTTACCAGATCTACCCACAAAATCGAGTCAGTATACATACTGGCCAAATGAAAGCTTGAAGGCTTGCCGCTAACAACAAGCTTGTGTAACTTTGCGAATATCGGCGAACAAAGATAGTCTGCTCGCGTTTGTGGGAATCGGATGGGAGATCCACTTACGTCTGAGCTTGCATGGCCATACTGCGGTCAAGGGGGATTGGGTCAAAAGAGTTGGCAAAGCGGTCTTGCATGTACTCCTGGAAGTCAACGCCGCTAGCAGAGCGAGTGCTTTCATATTCGGCGTACCCGCCAGAATATTGGTACCCGGACGAGGTAGCCGAGTATCCACCATTGCTGTAGGAGGGGATGCCCGAGGCGGAGCTAACCGAGTCATCACATTCCGGAGGCGAGACGGAATACTGGCTGTAGGTGGGGTATTGGGAGCCCTTGGAGGGAACGGGAAGTGGCATGGAGTAGCCCGCAGGAGTGTAATGAGAAGACATGGTGATTGTTTGAGAGAAGAAGAAGAAATGTTTATGCCAATTGAATATTTTGACAAGTGATCCAAGTGATTGTTCAAGGTTGGGTAGGCTAAGGACAAGTGAAGCTCAGTTGAGTTATGAGAGTCGTGTATCAAGACAACAAGTCAAGGAGACTGTGTATAAGTGCTGGGGAAGTTGGGACTTCAAGTCAGGAGCTGGTTGAAGAGTGATGAGAAAGGAAGAAGAAGAAGAAAGCTTCAACAGTATCAACTTTGGCCTTTTTATACTTTTTCAGAAACCTTGATCGGCCAAACCG